TGAGATGCTATCTTACTAAGAAAGACAAGACATGGAGTTTGTACACTTGAGCTCAAATGCACCCCTGTGAAATTTAAAATCAGAAATAATACTAAAACAATTAAAAAACCTATTTTTGGGGAACAAAGATTGTTGAATTTTCTACATACATGCAAACTCTTGTGAATAAAAACATCCCTATGCTCTAAAAACAAATTCGATGCTCCAAAAGACTTGAGAACATTTTGTAGTGCTGATTTTCTATTTTTGTCTGGACCTCCACAAATGTTATTCATCCCAAAAATAATGTAGGGAGAAACCTAAACAATGCCGTTGATTTTTTTTGAATTTTTCTGTTTATAACATGAGCATTTGAGCATGGGATTAGAAGAACATTAGACATTTTCTCCATTGTATGAGCTATCTTCTCATAGGCGCATGTTTTCTAGTTTAACTTTAATCATCCCATAATTTCAGGAGCATGTAGATACTAATTGTGAAATATAACACAAAAATATAATTTGTTCTGGAATTATAAGAAGGACCATCGTATTTTATTTACAAGGGTGCGTGCATGCCTATTATCTTTTGGCATCCATGAAAAAAGATGGATAACTACCCATGAATAATGAAGGGGTACTTCTCCGCATCCAGATTTGATCCAACTATGGTTATTCTAAAAGATGTCGAATATGCTAAGAGCAATTCTAGCAGACCCCGCAAAAACTTGACCCGCAAAAAGCGTTTGCAGTTTCGCAAAGTTCGCGTTTGCGGGTCGAAAACTAGCGCGGCCGAACAGATACTGTAAAACAAACTACAAAACTGGAATAAAGAGCTCCTTCCTCCAGTCCGGCCATTGCCGCCCCTTCCTCCAGCCGGCCACGCCGGCCGCGCCCCGTCGCCAGCAGGCCATGCCCCGTCACCCGTCAGCCGCGCCCCATCTTCCATCGGTCGCGCCCCATCACCGCGCCGGTCACGCCCAGCCTCGCCGGCCACGCCCCGTCGCCTCCGTCGTCCGCGTCCAGCCTTGCCGGCCACGCCCCGTCGCCTCCGTCGTCCACGCCTTGCTCTATTGCCAGGCGAGCCGTGCCCCTTTGCCTGCCGCGTCGGGAGGATTCCGGCGGCCAGGCTGAGGTCATGGGAGGCCACGACGATGTCGAGCTCGTCCAATTCGAACCGGCGGCGAGCGATTGCGGCGTCTAGCGGCCTTTTCTGATGTGCAGTGATGAATTCCGGCGAGTTTAGGGCAGATTCCGGCAAACTCCGCGGCGGCGTGTTTGCTCCGACGAGGTTTGACCGGTATACGGGGGGCCCTAAATTCGGCCTTCCAACCTTCAAAGATAAGGGTTTCGGGTGTGCATTTGCGGTGGCCCTTAAAAATTTTACGGGTTGGACCACTTTTACGGTTTCTGTTCTGGACACTTTCTTCGCCCAAAACTGTAAAACGCAAAAAATTTGCGGGTTTGACCACTTACGCGGGGTCTGCTAGAGAGCTACTCCAGATTATCAACATGACTCATTGTTGAAACAAAGCGACATAACATATTAATTTCATATGTTATTTCTCAAAGTGGAACGAATCTTTGTTAGGTCTGTTTATGGTAAAAGTTCCTATTTTTTCTTTCTCTCACAGGTAGTAGAGTGTTAGTTGCACCAAAGTTATGTTAACCTTATCTACACATTCTTTTCATATACATTTGCTTTCAGTTGTGATGTAGACATAACGCCAATCAACTCTAGCCAAATCTGAGAAAATTATAATGTCTGATTGTTGACTTTGTTGACAGCTGCTCATACATATCCTAGGAGCAAATAATTCATCCAAAGCTTTCCAGAATTTTGGTAATTACTAGTGATTGATATTCAACGGGGAATTTTTTCTGGAAAATTTAATTTTCTCAATTATGAAAGCTTAAATTATGCTATTATATTACACCATCGTAATTTTAAATTTCATTAACATTAAAATCGAAGGAGATTTTCCGCTTTCTTAGTTTTTTTAGTTTTTGTGATACTAACCACTTGTGCTTAGCAGTAGAAATTTTCGAGCTTAATAGCACCTAGAGTACTAATTACAAAAGTTGAATGCCACATCTTTACGGGCAGAGACGAGTGTGCTATCTATGAAAAATAAGCGTTTTGTCTTTCTGGTGGCCAATTAGTGTGCTCACCATGGAAACTAAGCATGGGTATTTTGGTAAACATAAAAATTAGTTCTGTGCAGCTGATCTTGAGTAACGTGAGTCGATGAACAGGGAAATAAACCTTGTAGAGCACTAATGATTAAACTCAAAAAAATGAGCACTGATGAAGCCTAGCTTGAGTTGGCATCTAATGATGCGACACAATTAAGGGTTTTAATTATTGAATAAAAAACCACGTCTTTCGGGTCAAGAGAGCTTGTGGTGAGTAACGTGGAGAGGCGTTCCTTTGTACAGATCTAGCTAGATGAACTATTGACAGGGCCCAACTTGGTAGCAACGAGCATCTTAGCTTAATAAACGATTTCGGGATAAGAGGAACTTGTCTTTAGCTATACAAGTGGATCGTTAACATTTTTTATTAGAGTGACTTGATGCAAAATTAGTTGTCTAATTACGGCCTACCGTTGCAACTATGCTAGCTAGATCTACAAGGACGAGAGGGGGTAGAATCGTGCAACCTAGCTACACTCTTTTCGTATTCATACACACAAAACTAACCTAGAGTGCATGCGTGGCCATGGAGGCAGCTCTGGTGAGTGCAGCAACGGTGGGCTTGAAACCAGTCTAAGATAGGCTCGTGGTGTTTTTGGTAGCTTGCACCGTTTTTAGGCCCCTTACATATGTAACTCGACTGAGTCTAGCTGAGCGAATGCAGGCTAAAAATCATGTTGTTCACATCGTTTGGTAGCCTGCATTGCATCAGTGGCCAAATTATGCTTGTTGTTTGGCAGCGAACGTGTCCGGATGTGTCTGCAGGCATTTGAAGGGTCGGATTTGCCAAGTCCAGCTGTATATGCTCTAAAGGCGGAGTTTTTGGTCATGAAGTATAGTTTCGTGCAACAGGGCGTGAACAACTTGAGTCGGTGAACAGTTAATAAGATTTGTTACAAGCTAGAGGGTTAAACTTGTTAACCTATAGCTTCGTGCATCTTTACGGTAATAAGACTTGCTAAGCTCAAAAAGAAGACTTGTTAAGCTAGAGGGTTAATTAAACACAAATTAATGAATGCTGATTAATCATGCATGATGCGGCATGATTAAGCGTTGATTGCCGAATAAGAAAAAGCATCTTTCGGGTCAAGAGAGATTGTCGTTAGCGAGCAACGTGGAGGGGTGAACAGTTGACTTGGACCAACTTGGTAGCACCAACATGCCATTCCAGGCAAATTTGACAAATTTGACCTATAGACGAAATCAAATCACAGAATGAACTGTCCGTTAAACTATTTCACGCAGCTGACCCGTGACGCCTAGCTCTCAGGCGCTGCATTAGTGCAACGCCTAGGAGCTAGGCGCTGCACTAGTGCAACGCCTGGGAGCTAGGCGCCACACTGTATAGTGTGGCGCCTAGCTCTCAGGCGCTGCACACTGACTTAGTAATTTTTGGATTACACGGGTACGACGCTGGCCGTGTAGCGCCTATCTGTGAGGCGTTGCACAGTATAGTGTGGCGCCTTCGTGTCGGGCATCACATAAAAAGGTCAGCCGCGTGAAATAGTTTCACGAACAGTTCATTCTATGATTTGATTTCGTCCATAGGTCAAATTTGCCGCCATTCCAGCCTCGATCGATTACTTGGCGGCATAACTTTAGATTATCTTAGCTAAGCAAGTGGATTGATTACTTGTTTTTATTAGAGCGACTTGGCGCAAAACTAATTGTTTAGGGGGTGTTTGGTTCAGAAGTCTTAGGACTTTTTCTAGTCCCAGGGACTAATAAAAAAAGACTCTCCAGTAGAGTCTTTTTCTAGTCCCTGTAGAAAAAGTCCCTCCTGTTTGGTTCTTAGGGACTTTTTCTAGTCTCTGGGACTACAAAGTCCCTGAACCAAATACCCCCTTAATTACAGCCGGTCGTTACAATCATCAAATTATTAAGCTAGCTGGCTAGCTAGATATAAGGCCAAGAGGGAGCTTCAGTCAGCCTACACTGCTTTCGCATCCATACACACAAAACTTACTGAGCAGGCTTTTGAGCTAGCATCAAGCGCAACCATGGAGGCTGCTCTGGTGAGTGCGGCGACGGGTGCCTTGAAGCCCGTCCTTGGGAAGCTGGCCACCCTTTTGGGCGACGAGTACAAGCGTTTCAAGGGCATGCACATTGAGATCAAATCGCTCTCAAGAGAACTCGTCGCCATGGAAGCGTTTCTTTTGAAGATGTCGGAGGAGGAAGATCCCGATGTTCAGGACAAGGTGTGGATGAATGAGGTTCGGGAGCTCTCCTATGACATGGAGGATTCCATCGATGACTTCATGCAGAGTGTCAGCAGCGAAGATAAAAAACCAGATGGCATTTTGGAGAAGATGAAGAATTCGTTGGGGAAGATGAAGGCTCGTCGCCGGATCGGCAACGAGATCGGAGATCTAAAGAAGCAGATCATCGAGGCGGCCCAGAGGAATGAAAGGTACAAGGCTCGTGAGGCCTTCTCCAAGGCCAAGAATACAACCATTGATCCTAGAGCTCTTGATATCTTTAAGCATGCCTCTGAGCTTGTCGGAATTGATGAACCCAAGGCTGAGGTAATTAAATTGTTGACTAAAGGTGTGTCAACGCAAGAGCAAGTGAAGCTGGTCTCTATCGTAGGATCTGGTGGGATGGGCAAGACAACTCTTGCAAATCAAGTGTATCAAGATCTCAAAGGAGAATTTAAATGTCGGGCCTTCTTATCTGTGTCGAGAAATCCAAACATGATGAATATCATGAGAACTATTTTTAGTGAAGTCAGTGAGAAAGATTATGCTAACACTGAAGCAGGGAGTATACAACAACTCATTAGCAAGACCGCCTATTTCCTGGCAGACAAAAGGTACAATTTCTTTTTCAACTTATCATCCTCAAATATAAAATTAGTGAAGTTTTATGTGGTTCTTTTGTATTGTTTTCATAAATTGCTAGAAAATAGGTACAATTTTATAGTGAAGTTCATTTTCCTGCTAAGTAAATAAAAAATATATGGAGAGAGAGAGAGAGAGAGTACCCAAAAGCATATATCTTATGAACGTCCATGCGCGATCTATGTTTTTTTTCTTAGAATAGCTCTGAACTTACGTAGATTTTCTTAATTTTAAATCACATGATGGTTGGATCCACACCTAAGTAGACTCCTTTTAGTTTCATGACCATCTGATCAACATCCCTTCTAGACCAGTTAAGTGTGTATATTCATCCTTTTTCAGCCACGCTTTCCTCTTTTCTATGGTAATGACTCATGTTTAACCTATTGTGTATCACCCAACTCTCCATATAATCTTGCAAACTAATTAGCATGTACTCCCCCCTTTTCAAAATACTTGTCGTTGTTTAGTTAAAATTTGAATTAAACCCCGACAAGTATTTTGGAATGGAGGGAGTACTGATATACACACAAGAACTAAGTCTACTACATATGCAAGTTTAACACTTGTGTCAGCTTTCTTACAGGAGTAGACATTTATGCTGCTATTGTGAACATGTTTATAGTTTTATGTATTTATTTATCTTTTTGTATAGTCTTTTTATCATTACCACACTGATATCAACCATTTATCCTCGTGCAGGTATTTTGTTGTTATTGATGATATACGGGACGTGGATACATGGCATGTTATCAAGCTTGCATTTCCCGTGACTAGTTCTGGAAGTATCATAATCACCACTACCCGTATAAATGAAGTTGCTGAATCATGTTGTTCAACGCCATTCAGTGGAGATATTTATTGCATGAGGCCTCTTGACATGGTGCACTCTAGGCAGTTATTTTACACAAGACTATTCAACGCCCAAGAAAACTGCCCCGCACACCTTAAAACAGTTTCTGAGCATATTTTGAGAAAATGTGATGGGTTGCCTTTGGCAATCATTGCTATATCTGGTTTGTTGGCTAATATTGAAAGGGTAGAAGGTCCATGGAAACAAGTTGAAGATTCGATTGGTCGAGCACTTGAAAGAAATACCAGTGTTGAAGGAATGAAGATACTATCACTTAGTTACTTTGAACTGCCTGCTCATCTAAAATCTTGTCTCTTATGTTTGAGTACATTCCCTGAAGATTCTGTTATTAGGAAGAAAGTTTTGATAAATAGGTGGATTGCTGAAAGATTAATTCATACAGAAGCCGGATATAGTACAACATATGAGTTTGGAGAAAGGTGTTTTAATGAGCTCATCAACAGGAGTTTGATCCAACCTTTGAAAATGGGTAACTATGATAGGGTAAAGAGTTGTCGACTTCATGACACAATTCTTGATTTCATCATATCCAAATCCGTCGAAGAAAACTTTGTTACTTTGGTAGGTGTTCCTTGTTTAACTGTTGGCACACAAAGCAAAGCTCGTCGGCTGTCCTTGCAAGCCGGCAAGCAAAAAGAATTGATAGTGCCAAAAGGCTTGGTTTTGTCTCATGTCCGGTCACTTGATGTGTTTGGAGAATCTGTGAAAATCCCTTCTATTGATAAGTTCAAGCATTTGCGTTATGTGGACTTTGATTTTTGCGACCAACTGGAGAACCATCATCTTGAAACTATAGGGAAGTTGTTTCAGCTGAGGTATTTGAGTCTCCGATGCGCAAAAAATGTAAGTAAACTCTCAGAACAAATCGGACATCTAAGGTACTTAGAGATACTGGACTTGAGAGACACCTCTGTTTGGGAGTTACCATCATCTGTAGTCTATCTCAAGAGTTTGGTCCACCTATTAGTCAACCACTATGTTACACTTCCTTGTGGAATTTCCAAGCTGCAAGCACTGAAAAAATTGAAGGATGTCGGGGTCAGTAAGCAGTCATCAACTTCCGTACAAGAACTTGTGCAGCTGCAGAGTCTGAAGGTATTGCAACTTAGTTTTGAAGAATATGTTTATACTGACCAATTGAAGGCTGAAAATCAGTCCAAGAAAGCTATTATTGTGGCTTCCCTTAAACACCTAGGGAACCTCCTCTCTCTAACCATTTCGTCTATCCCCGAATTAGTAGGGGAATCTCTGTGCCCTGTGCCACTTAGCCTCCGGAAGCTTATGGCCTGGTATTCGAGGATTCCTCATGTTCCAAAGTGGGTGGGCTCCCTTGTCAACCTCCAGGAATTGCGCCTTGAATTGGACGGAGCTGAGCAGAAAGATTTCTATATCCTTGGAGGCTTACCTGTTCTGCGTAATCTGGTTCTTCAAATTTATGAAAGTGAAATTAGAAATACTCCTTTAACAGAAGAGTCTGGAGTTAAAAGGGTCATAGTCTGTGGCGAAGTTGGATTCCCATGCTTGAGTATATTTAAATATTTTATTGAGTATGGTGGGATCAATTTGTCGTTTGCGGCTGGAGCCATGCCCAAGTTAGAAGACCTCTTGATAGCATTTGACGCATCAAAACCCGAGGAGCGCTGCTATACAGACGACGGTTGCGGCCGATGTGTGCACCATGCTACTGCTCTAACCGTGCATCATGTGTGGCACAAAGTGGAGGATGGCCGCTGGATCAAAGCAGTTCGGCCGGTAGTTCCGAAACATGTCGGCTGCTCAGTAGTTCCGAGACCCGAGTCTCTGGAAGCTTTTTATCTCGGAATCGGAAATCTCCCCAGCCTCCTAAAAATCAGATGTAAAGCGGGGAGAGACAATGGAAGCAGAGTTAAGGCTGCGGAGGCTGCCATTTTGGAAGCAGCCAGCGCCCATCCCAACCACCCTAGTCTCAAGTTTGTAGAAGGCGGCCTTTGGTGATGTGTCGAGGTACTACTAACTTTTTCTCCCATGAAAGAGCATGTACTTCAATTCACTAGATCTGTCTCATCTCCTCATATGATCTGTTTTTCTGTCTTATTCAGCTCATGGAACAATTCCAATTCTAGGCTGCAGTCTCAAAGGTCCATCTCTGTAGGAGTATTTCTGAGTTCTCATCTGACGATTCATCATTTTCTGCGATGAATGAATAAGCTCCCCTGCTGGTACGTGCTTACTCAAACCTAGCATCCCTAGCTAGAAAACTGCGTGCTGCACCCTTCAGATAGAGATACTAGCTAGTACATATGTGAGATTGTGAGGTGCCTGCGTCATTGAGTTTATGGTTAATTTGGTGACATGTGAGAAAGATGAAAGGCAAGAAACCGTGTTGTGTGTGTACACATTTGTTTGTTCGTGCATGTGTTTTCCCCCGAAGTGGCATGTTAATTGTTGTTGGTCCTATACAACGTAGGATTAAAAATTTCAAGTTATATCTTGGTTAGTTATATCTTCTTCAGCAATTTGCAAGCTCCGGCCAACTGCTTAGTGCTAGTTTTCCTGAAATAAACACTTGATGAGCTCTTCTTGTTCTATCAACAATTTGGATGATGTTAATATATGCTTATGGTCTTTTATAGTTATAAATATATATTCTTTCTATGTACCACTATTAAAATAATAAAATGTCATGGACTCACAGACGCGGTGCTGGCGAAGATGGAGATGAAGAGGAAGCTGTCGATGGTGAAGGCGTGGGGGGAGAGCCAGAGGAGCAAGGCCGACAACAGGTGGCCCAAACTCGACTGAATTTAACTGAACTTTGCACAACTGAATTCTCATCTCTGTATGCAAAGTTTGACCAGTCTTAAATATGAACAATGTTGTGCTTCATGGCCGAGCAGAAGATTTCATTGAAGAATCCCAAGAACCTAGACGGCCGTCGAGGGGAAGGTCCGAGCATGAGAGGTCTCAACTCCGAATCTGAACCTTCCTTCCTGGCCGTCTCTTCAGTTAGTTGCAAAATTCAGATTCAGAGTAACACGCGAGGATATGCTTATGCTCACCTCTTCTGCAACGAATCGCGAAAGAGCTCATGGTAAAATATGGAAATTGTACACACACACACATGAAAAAATGCATATACAACTTGTGAAAATACTACTCACTACGTAATTAACTTTTTTGTACTGATCTTAGTCTGAACTTTGCAGCAGAAACCGGAGAAGAATGCAGAGTAGGCGACGAACATGGGGAACCTGGTGTCGTGGCTGTGATGATTGTCAGCGAACCACTGCCAACCAAGACGGTTACTGACGACGGAGAAGCTGCATCAACTTCAGCTGGTGTCGACAACAGCAAGACAGCTACAGTATCGAAGCTAAGGCCCAAGTCAAATCGGGCCAGGAGGACCCCCCCCCCCCAGTGGCTTGCAGGCCCAAACTGGGCCCGTTAACCGGGTGTAACAGTACTTATAGCCGTTGGCTGCTTCTCTTTTGTTTTTGGCGATGGACTAGGCGGCTACGGCCGATGTGTATCTAAACAGACGTGTGGGTGGTTGGGAGGAACACGCCAGTGAATTCAAATTCTAGATCGAATCCCCAATTTTCGCCATGATTATGTGAGCTAGATCCAAGTACCTCACAGTTGGTATCAGAGCTGTTCGTCCTGGAGATCTCGCCGCATCACCACCGCACCAGATTCAGCGACGCCGATGCCGCCAAGCCATGGAGGAGCTCAGCGACGAGAGTCGCGCCGTGTTCGAGCTGCTTCGCCATGAAATCGACATCGATCTGGACCAGAAGTTCAAGGCGCAAGGCGAGTCTCTCCTCAAGTCCATGAGTAAGATGCTGGAAGCCAACAATTCGGCGCTCGACAACCTCATGTCAGCAAGAGCTGACGGCATCCGCGAGGAGATCGCCCTCGACATCGAGCAGGTGCGAGCCGACGTCAGTAAGCTCGAGTCCACGGATCAGGGACCCAGGCCGGAGGGGAGTTTACCATCTCGTTAGGGTGGGCCGTCTCGCGGAGGCGCAGCCAGCGACGGGCTGGTGTTCGAGAGCGACCACCGCGGAAAGTCCCACAACATCTATGTGCCTCCACCAGCAAGAGGTGCGCGAGATCTGAATCCTTCGCCCAAATTTTTTTCGCCTCGCAAATTCTCTGTTCTAGATACTGCTGAGTCGTCCCATTTCTCTTTGCATCTGGAGATGCCTCGATTCGATGGAACCAATCCTCGATTATGGCAAAATCGTTGTGAGGATCAGTTCAGATTATGGAGTGTCCCTACCCACAGATGGATTTCTCTGGCTACAGCACAATTTGAAGGAGCAGCAGCGCGTTGGCTGGAGTCGGTGCAGCGCCGAATGCCAAATTCCAGTTGGACTGAATTCTGCTCTGCTCTTCAAGCCAGGTTTGGCCGCAATCAGCACCAAACTCTCCTGCGCAAGCTGTTTTGAATTGCGCAGACAAGTACTGTAGAAGATTATGTGGATCGTTTCGCAGAACTGTATGACCAACTGACAGCCTATGAGGATACACCCAATGATTTGCATTATACCACCAGATTCCTTGACGGTCTGAAACCAGGGGTCCAGATCGCTGTAGCACTGCAGAAGCCTAAGAACTTAGATGCTGCCTATGAACTGGCTCTGTTGCATGAGGAACTTGGTGAAGGGTTTACACCAATCAATAGCTATTCAACCAAGCGGCTGTCAACTCCTGCACCTGCTACTTCCCCTTCCATTGTCAAAACTGCAGAAGAAAAGAGGAGGACTGAAACTGTCAAACCTAACCGAGCTGAAGATAAGTGGTCAGCATTGAGAGAATTCCGGAGATCCAAGGGACTCTGCTTTGTTTGTGGTGAGAAATGGTCCAGAGACCATGTATGCAAGTCAACCGTGCAACTGCATTTTGTCCAGGAAATGATTGAATAGTTGCAGGCCAGTTCACCAGAAGAATCTGAAACTTCTGACAGTGAACACCCTTCTTCTGTTTCATCTTCAGTGCACTCCATCAGACTTTCTGCTGCTGCTATGGGAAGGGAACCTGAGGCCCCTGTTCTGCAATTACAAGTGAATATCCAGGGACATATTTTGAGTTTTCTCGTGGATTCTGGCAGCACTCTTTCATTTCTTGACAGCAAATTTGTAACATTGTCAGGTGTTGCTCCCATTGCTCCTGTTAAAGTTACAGTGGCAGGAGGGACTGTTATAGTTTGTCAGCACAGTATGGAGGCTTGTAACTGGATCAGTAATGGGGTACAGTTCACATCCAACTTCAAGCTATTACCTCTCAACACTTATGATGGTATACTTGGTCTAGATTGGTTAACCCAGCATAGCCCCATGAAAATTGATTGGGTGGAGCAATGGATGTCTTTTAGTTATGAAGGGAAAGTGGTCACCTTGCAGGGTATAGATGCATCAGAATACACCTATGCATGTGTGTCCATTTCAACCATCCAAGTTACAGAACCCACTGCAATTCCTGAAGAGATGCAACAACTTATAGATGAGTTTGCTGATGTGTTTGCAGCTCCTACAGAATTACCCCCTAGAAGAGAAAGTGATCACAAGATTCCCCTAATTCCAG